AGGCCAGTAGAGGATTAACCCCTATGGACTTTTTCTCTGCCTATCCCCTGCTGCCAGTACAGTTTCTGCAAAAGCCATGCTACTGTGGGCAGGAACACTGCACCTGGTTAAAATCCCTTCTGTGAGGGTTTGTGGGCACAGAGTTAGTGGGTTGGGTAAGTAGATTGTCTGGAAGTAGACATAAAAAGAACGAACATTCTACTTATTATTTATTTATTCTCTTCTCTCTCTCTCTCTCTCTCTCTCTCCACACACACACCCACCCACCCACCACCACCAAGATTTACCCTGGCGGTGTTCCTTCTGCACATGGGCGGTGGGTAGGGTGTGTGAGCTAGGTCCAGCTCTGAAATTTGACTGTTATTATAATCAAGTTAATAAGGGTTTTCACAATGGATTTTCATCATGGTTTTATATGGACTAGCAAATTCATACATATGGGCTACCTGCCAGATCATACATATACTCTTGCTGCACTCTTCTAAATCTGTAACTAGAAAGCAGGAATATGATCTTTAATTAGATATAGTATCTGTAACCATACAAGTTAACAAATTATAGTCATTTAAAGTATGTTTTACATTATTGTTACTGGGCTTTTTTTTTAACAACACTGATCTCAGATGTATATTTATACTCAGCCTTTTATGTTTTGAAAAATAACTTTCTTATGGATCAGAAACATATGCACAATTTTTTCCTCTTTCTTCCCCCCCAGAAATTTTAAATAGTACATCTTTGGGAAGTAAAGAATCACAGAAAGTTAAACAGGACCTCTACTATTATAATCTTGTTCAATACTGTATGTTGGTCCTTAAACAAGATTACTCTCGACTGCCCGGGGGCTGGGCTACTGCTGCCCAGCTATCAGAGATACTAAGGTAAAATGAAAAGCAGCGGTAAAGTTTTATTTTTGTTCTCCTTCACATCTTTCCTCTCACTTTTTTCTTTTCAAGCTGTTCTACACTGACTCACATCCAAAACAAGGCTTGTTGCGCAGAAAATGTCAGGGTGAGAGTGCAGGGAGCGGTCAAGGGCAGAGAGAGGTCAGGCAAAGCCTAACTGATTTGCATTGTGTTTCAACGTGCTAGGCGGATTATTCGGTGGGAACAAATATGTCACATTTACCCTTGTTTGTTTATAAATTGTCCTCAAGTAGATCATGATATCTACCAATGTACTGCTTATTCAGAATTGTTCACATGCTCTTGCAATCAAATGTCAGTCTCTGGGTCATTGACAAATCGTTCTTTATTTATTTTAGATGTGTAGAAATGCTTTAAAAATGGATGTTATCCATACACTCTAAGTACCCTGGGCATCACATAAAAATATACCACAAATGCAATAATCCTACCTAGTATAAAATCACCACCAATGAGCCAGACAACTTAAAACTCAAATCGCCTTCAAACAATCTCTACCCACCTCACCCCCAAACTTTTAAATTCTGAGTCAAATGATAAGTCTTGCAAATTACCCTGAAGTGGGGTCCTTAGATCAGCTTTGTCTCTCTAATACCATTTCCTAGGTCTGAGTTTTTGATATTAGAAATTTGCTAGAAGCTTCAAGATCAGGCACCAAAGCCACATGATATTGTTTCTGTTTCCAACTGCATGATCCAACCTTTATAAACTGATTCTGCTTCCAGACAAAATTAATTAATTTTGTAACAAAACAAGTCTTCTTGTAACTAAATGA